ACGATATGGTATAATCTTTGTTACGCGGCCTTCAATTTGCAAAGAAATGGATATCTATTATCGTAGGCAGTTGACCGCAGGTGCGGAGACCTCGGCACCTAGGGTTCGGGCCTACGATAAGATTGAAACCTATGCCCGTTTCTCTTTCGCCCTGTTTGTATGACTGCTATCAGCGAACATGATCATCCACTAAGCCTTACGGAATACCTTCATACTCGGGAACGTTAGAGCAAATCTTGGTAAGTTATGCCCTATCATCCGTAAATGTAATATTCTCGCTTCTGGACCGGAAGAACCGGTTCCCTCGCGGACTAACCTCTGGTCCTGAGCTCTGCTCGCACCAAAATCTCGTTAAGTTGCTTTAGGACCAGCAGGCACGGTGTCTCTTCTCCACACAGCATCTCATCTCCACATCGAATCGTTCACTGAAAACGCGACGACGTTTGCCAAGAGCTTTAGCTAAAATCATGGAATATTAAGGTCGTTAGGCTTGTCGAGATGGACTCGTGCGATCTGATTGTCATTCCGGAATCAAATGGGATATAAATGAACTTCCTAGTCAGAATCACGCTTCCTCTATTCCTCCGGTCACACAGTCTCCTCAACAAATCTCTTAGGCTACAGAGCTTATACTTCCGTTTTTCACTTGGTCTATTCCTGTTAAATTACAGTCAGTGGCTAGAGGTCCGAAACGAATACGAATAATATGAATAATATGAATAATTTGCGAATATGAATAAAGTCTTGGCGAATAATGTGAATATGAATACGCCTTATATTCATATTCGCGATATTCATGAATATTCATATTATTCATGAATATTTCACATAGATCTAGGCAAATAAAATTATAACATCTAAAGCCTCATTACTATAACATGTCAAGGAGTGCTTGGGACTGTTAATATAATAATCAAGGGGCTTTTCGTGTACTTCGGGAGAAGTCAATGCTAGATTGAGCCATGCTATGTAGGAAATCACGCTCGTTGCCACGATCCTAGACTTCATAGATGTTAAGTAAATCGATAGTATTGTTTATTGAATAGGATTAAACGGCAGTATATGTAGGATCGTTAACGCGATAGGCGTGTTATAACAATCCAGGATTCGCGGCTTCAAGTAAACAAACCGCCATTCTCTATCACTAATAGTTGAGTACATGATTTGACGCGTCATTAACGTGTCAACTCATGTAACTTATTCCTAGTGCATCCAGCTCTCGGCCAGTTAACCGGAAGACTTCATGTCCGGCATTAGTGCTTCTACCTTTACGACACCTACCGGAAAGGATACAACCGGAGAGGACACGACACCTACCAGAAAGGACAATACCCCTAGTACTCAATGATAGGGACTGGCATCCTCTAATACAACTGCGGTAATGCGAACAACGACAAGGCTAGGGCTACCTTCGACTCGATTGACCCTACCCGGTTCCCTATACTTGCAATTCAGGAACCGATGGTCGCCGAAACTAAACCAACAGTTACCTATATACTAAAGAATTTTCGCCTAAGCCGACCTATATACTACGGTATACGGGTCGTCTTCTTTATCCACGATAAGATCCTTCTTATAGCTTGGGAATCAAAGCGAGCCTCCGACCACATCGAATGGATCCGCGTTATAACGCGTGACGGACCCCTCAACCTCGTTAACGTATATAATCCACCAGGGCACGTAGGCCAGCCACAGCTTGAGAAGTGGCCGGAGATCGCAGAAATTCTCTGCGAAATTGGCCAAGAGAACGTTATCCTCCTAGGGGACTTTAACTGCCATTACCCAGCCTGGGGTGGAACCGGAACCCTAAAGGAGCTAAAGGTAGACCACCTACTCCTCCAAACCGAGCAAGCTAACCTCCAGCTCCTCAACGAGCAAGGGGTAATAACATGGAAGCGGAACCAAAGCCAGTCGGTTATTGACCTAGCCTTTGCCTCGCCGGAGATCGCCTTACGGATCCTCCTCTACTACCTACGGCCGGAGTGGTCTACTATGTAGAAGTATTGATACGTGATTGATTAATCTATCTAGGAGTATGGGAGGCCTCGGAGGAATAGGAGGTGACCACATGGTACTAGCCGTATTGGGATGTCACCTGGCTCCCAACCTCTAGAGGATGGTTGATATCTAACACTCCCCCTCAAACATCATCTTCAGGGTAAGGCCGTCGTGAAGGTGGCTCACGCGGTTCTTCAGGGGCAGTTTGCCATTCCGGGATGACCGTGGGTGGTGTTGAAGGTGCTGGGTAAAGGACTAGGTGGTTCTTGATCGGATTGAGGGCTTGAAACAGTGAGCCAGTAACGAG